TGACTCTCATGGATTTGTCGTCGCTCTCAAATACCAACCGAGCAAGCCTTTTGCCCTAGATCCCAGCCATGTCTTCCAAGCAAGGTATGTCCTTTACGATAAAAACCCTAGAAATTTGTTAAGCTTTTCGAACACAGAAGTATGAAATTGTGCTTTATTTTTCAGGTGGAAAAGCAAATCCCTTGAAGGCACCCAAGGTCGACAAGAACGTGTACGACGAGGTATGATTAATTGTTTGATTATGTTTGAATGCTGAAGTTGGTAGCTTTGGTGGTATTATTATTCAGGATCTTACTGGGTATATGAAATAGGAAAATAATTGGAGGAATGTTTAGGTTTATGTTTTAGGTGGATGATGATTTGTGTTTTGGGTGGATCCTTTTAGCTCAAGAAAAGGGTCATTCGGAGGTTATGGGCTCAAGAAATCCGGGATACAATATATTGTTCTTGAGCCGTAATTATGAACTTTGTTGTGTTAACGTCTTTCAATTCATGTGATGGTCGAGCATCTAATGTGCATGAGATGCTCGAGTGAACTTCAGTGTGTAACATTATGACCCAGTCTAAATAAATTGAGTTGTCCAATCTTAAGCTTTTCTGAGTTGTTTGCAGTGTTACCTTGTTTGTTTTGATTTGTTATTCTCTAAGATATCAATGAGATTTCAAGATTAGCTCTCGAATATCTTACAACATGCTGGTCCATTTTTTGTGGGAAATGGTCACAACATCCTGTTCTGGACCCATAATTGGATTTTCCTTTTCACTTTTCTGTCTCATACAGGAAGATCAATTAAGTAGTATTGTTTGGGCCCAAAATAATATTGTTGGGCCGAGTGTAGGTTTGTGCTCGGCCCAAAGCCATGTCAAAATACTATGGGCTGCCTGATGATTCCGGGCCATTTAGCAAGGATGGTCAAGTCCTATCGTAAGAATGAGTAGTTCAGATAAGCAAAGAAGGTCGAGGAAGTCCTGGTGCAATTAGGATTCTCGACCAAACAATGAATAAAGCCCCGAAAGGGGGTGAGTTCAAAGTCCTAATTCAGATAGGAGTTGTTCGAAGCAAAGTTGGAACAAAACAAGAACTCCCAATCCAGATAGGAGTTTAATTCGATCTCAAGAAGGAGTTGGTGCTATAAATACAAGAAATCATGCAACAATTGAGGACCTTCAATTCTACACACAATTGCGCTGCGCAAAACCTCTTAAACAGCTTGAGATTTTCATTTTCTTTTTCTCACCAACATACCTTCAGTTTGGATAAACAGCACTGTGGAGGCAATCGGTGAACACCTTCAGTTTGGATAAACAACACTATTGCTGTAGAATCAGCCAACCGAGGAGCACCTTCAGTTTGGATAAACAGCACTATGTCGAGGTCGACTAGTTACCTATCCAAGTCTCGGCCAAGAAGGGTTTTCGATCCTTGTTGGTAGAGGTCATCTTATTAGCCTTTTCGGCAAAGTAAGGTGTTACTAGCTACGACATTCGGCGTACTGGACGCCGAGTGATTTTATGATTGGATACTCACAAGTGAGTTTCATAGTTCGACATTCTGACGGCCGAACCACATTCACCATTAAGACATACATCACCTTTGAATATTTGTGTCCGTATAATTTGGTGTCAATTCGACGTGCTTATACTTTTATGAATATAATCACGGTGACCGAATCAGGCGCCAACGATTTGTGAACTTCGCAGAACTAGCAGCCTTATCTTCAGGCTCTAGAACCTGAAGATCGAGAGTGTTCCTTCCTTGGTCGCAGTAGCAAGGTAAAGAAGTCAGCAACGCGCTCAACGTAACATCAACAAATTTTACTCCTCGGCTGAGCTTGGCCGACGAGTTGGCACGCCCCGCATTCAACCGAATGACTTAGTTAGCTTATTAGTTGCTCGGCCTGCGCGCCGCGTAGGCTTTATAATTTTTAGGGTCAACAAGTATAGATTGGAACCTGAAAGTTTGTCATTTTTGTTCTTCACTAATTGCTGGAATAAATCTCTTTTGCTTAATTATGTCAGTATAGATATTGCTAATAAAGTTTGCAGTATTCCTTTACCAATGTTTTTTTTTAATACATCGATATTTTTACACTAAGAGGAGGGGGAGTTTGGTTATGACACACAATTGGCAATCGAATTTGGTATCGAATTCGTCATCCACGAGATTCGAACCTATTCTGATAGAAATGATTATATTTGTTGGGGCATAAATGTCAATGGTCGATGAACTATCAAATCTGTGATATGTATTCAAAGTAATGTAACATGAAATAATTTCAAAACTGAGGTGCTAAATAGAACGTGAAAGTTAATGTTCCTCACAAGGTTAAAAAATTTAGTTGGAACGAAAGGACTCAAGTAGTGTTCCAAAGTGTTAAAGCAGTTCCCAATATAGTTGTTATGCTTTCTATGAATATGGGTAAAAGACTCATTAAATTAGATGGAATCCCCCCAAGTTGGGGCTTCTTTTAAAAATAAACTTTGATGGATCTGTGGTAAACTCTAAAGCATGAACTGGCTTCATAATCAGGAATGAGGATGGAGACCTAATTGCTGCTGGTGCTAGATATTTTGGGGGAGATTCAATATCTATTGATGGAAGTCTGGCTTTTAGAGATGCACTTTGGATGGCAAGAAGTAGAGGCTTCGAGAAAATCTGTGTGCAGGAGACTCTAAGCTTGTGATTGATTCAATCTTAGGGTCTGCAATGTTCCTTGGCGTTTAAGGTTTATTATTGGAGATATTAAAGGTTTAGCAGCCTCTTTTGATTTCGTCTCTTGAGTGCACGTTTATATAGAAGTAAACTTCTTGACGGATGCTATTACTAGTATTGGCTATAAATTAATGACCTTCATGTGTGGGATAGAACCTTCCCTAATGTTGCGCACAAAACTTATTTCTTTGATTGTATGAGGATTGGTTGCGACCAGTGGTCACTCTTTTTCATGTCTTTTTTAATTAAAAAACAACTAAGGTACTTTTACATGAAAATTTAACGAATATTGACACTAATTTAAAAGTACTTTTATAATTATAAATTACCAACATTTAACTATTCTATTTCATATTTGTTTATTCTCAAAACACAATAAAAAGCAGTTTTTTTTTTTTTTTTTTGGGTCAAGGAAGAGAATTTATTTCACATAAACACACAGTACACAAACTTACAACCGAACAGAGACCCAACAACACCTATAAACAACAAAAAAGGACCTAAAAACAAAAAAAACAAAAAACAAAACAAAGCAACATAAACATAAAAAAGCCCAAAGGCCCAAAAATGAAAGAACATTTGAGAAACATCCACCACTTTCTCCACAGTCGATCCGAGGAGCTTCAAGCCAGCCGATTCTCTGACCACCATCGATCATCTTCTTCTCAAACGCCTCCTGGGCACATCCATAAGCAAGAGGTAATCGACACTCAAATGAAAGAGGCCAACCACCTATGTGAACCTCAGAAAAATTCCCGAGCAACACTGCCGGAAATGACGGACATCAAGTAGAACGTGATGGTGTTGGAAACACCCAAGCCAGTGAGAGCATTGGAACTCTACACATGAACTCCATAGAGAACATGGCTGAAAATTGAAGCAAATAAAGACCAGGAAGAGGAAACCCACGGAGTTTGGGGAATTCGATAGGCCAAATTTAAAATTTGGAGAACCAACTGTAAATGTAGGGAGAGTAGACAGATAAGAGGGAGAAGAGGACCCAGCAACCGACCTCAGCCGAAGCTAGGGCCGGTGCCACCAAAAGTGTTTAAAACTGAAGATCTCACAGAATCAAGGAGAAAGACTCTCACTTTGGAGAGAAGAACTCTTCTGGGAGAGAACTAGAGTTATGCCCATTCAATAAAAAGCAGTTTAAAAAAATAATACATCAATCTCAAACAAGCAAATTGATTGATTTGAGCGTATAATTCCAAATTCCTCCATAGCAATGTCGAAAGTGATGTCACTCTGCCCAACAAACAATCAATCGCACGTTTATAAATTGGGGGCACAAAAGGCCAAACCTTGTACCAACCCACTTGTGCAATCCCTGCAACTTTTCACATGATAATTATAGCTACCCCACAAAATGAATTACGACACGTAATTTAGATACCAAATTGACACATTTCGGCTCTTTATATTCATTTAGACATTCAAAACGAGTTGTGCTTCTTGACATTCGGAAGGTGACAAAGTTATAAAGTGACGGTGATATGGAAAGTGCTACTAATTTAAGCCTAAAGTAACTAATACTAAAGTGCGTATGTGAGCGAGATCGACCCATTTTACACAAGTGATGTTCAGAGCATAAGTAAATTGTAGTAAAATAATAGTAACGACGTTTATACCGAAAGGAGAAGTCTCCTACATGACAGCTTTTTTACCAGCAATCCTCGTCGTCATAAAACAGTTGCCATTAAAATCCTAGAGGGGCGAAAAACAAGTGTAAATGAGTCTGAAACTGAAGTTTCGTTTTTGAAAAGTGTATCTCCTCACTGTAAAACAAGTATATAGTTTTCTGAAAATATTATAATAATAGTACGTAATATATACCCTGCAACACAAGTGAGTCTTATTTATGTTTTAACCTTTAAAAATTAATATTTTAAAGTATAATATAGGATTAAATTTTTTCATCTCCAACCATATACTGCTAAATCTTTCTATCTTAGCTTAGGATAATCATATTACGGTTCGTCGAGGAGCTTGAGGGCTCACTATGTATAACCTGCCTTTAGCTAAACTTAGCACTAATTTCTTTGGCCCTTGACTGGAGACAAGTTTTGCTCAAATTGGGGCTAAAAGTTGCCTCTAACCCTTAGTTAGAAATGGCCTTACATGAGCACTTATATACTATCATCATAATGTTTCCTACTAATAATACAATAGTACGTAAAAAGAAATTTACATAAGTCCATTATTTGAACGAGAAGCTCACGATGACGGTGTATCTTGTGTCATGTAATTCTTTCGCCAGCAGCCAGAGGCATTCAGGTTTCGTCATTTTGTTGCTTGGATCGGCCAACCACTGAAAATTAGTTGGATTGGGATGTGATTCACAAGTTCACAATCCCAGACTAACGTACACTAGGATGAAAGCACTGGGACATCCTCAGCTGCCAGGTGTGAGCCTGCTAGTGGTCCACTTGGCATTCGCTGATTGCTTCTCTGAAAAGAAAATATTGGCCGTGCCTTCGCGCTAAGCCTTTTAGGCACACTCCCCACAAATTAGAAACCAGTGGCTTCTGTTTCGGTCCCTAGTTGAGAGAGACAGAGAGAGAGAGAGACAGAGAGAGAGAGGAAATTGGTGAGAAAACAGAAGAATTTGGATTCTACGGTGTGGAAGGAATCCGTAAACAGCCTCTGCAGCAATTGAGGAAAAAAGACTGAAGTGAAAAGAAAGATAACTTTTTCCTTTTTTGTTGATTTTGTTGTTTCTGCATCGTTTTCAGGAGATTTTGATAGAAAACAGAGAACCCAGAAAGGAAATTCCCACAACCCTTTCCAGAATTGTATATATTTTTGTATCTGAATTGGGTTTTCCAGCTGAATCCGAATTTTGAGAGAAAAGCAGAGAATCCAACACACAGAGGGAGGGAGAGAGAGATAAAGATTTGAACTTTTAACACAGATCCTACAATTTGAGGCGAAATTTTGATTTGGGTTACTCTGAAAAGGGGAAACAAGAATTGGGTTTCGATCAGAGAGGAGGATAAGGCGGTGGAAATAGGAATTTGGGGTGTTTGGTGAATGGGAAAATGGATTTCTGGCCCGAGTTTCTTGCGAGCAGTTGGGGAAAAGAATTTGTGGCAGGAGGGGTTGGAGGGATGGCTGGTGTAGTTTCTGGTTATCCGCTCGACACTCTCCGGATCTTGCAACAGAATTCGCATTCGGCATCGGCCTTCAGCATCCTTCGCAATGTTGTCTCTGCTGAAGGCCCCGTTGCCCTTTACAGAGGCATGACTGCTCCCCTGGCAGCCGTTACCTTCCAGGTTCTTCTCCTCCTCCTCCTCCTTTTTATCTAACAAAAATTATCTCATATTATTTTGCTTTCTTTTAGTTGTAAATTGATTGATTTTGTTTGTTTATGTTGATCACAAGATGGTTGTGAGGGTAGTTAATGCCTTTGGTGTTACCATTTCTTGGAAATTGGAATACTAAGGTGACAAATGTTTAATAAACTTCCATGTAGATGTCACACACTAATTAGATCCTATATTACAAAGGGTTATATAATATCGAGTGATAGATAAAATAAATAATTAAGATTGAAGATAAAAGATCTAATATTTATGAAAATTGAATCCAACAATTAAAACATTTGTAGTATTGAAGACAGACTCGTAAGTTCATACGTAAATAAAAGAGAGAATTAGAATTTTCTTATAAAAAGAGACGTGGTGAATGGTGTGAGGTTACCAAATATATAATAGAAGTAGAAAACAAAACAAATCTGGTGGTTTGGTCATTAGAGACTGTTAGTGTTATGAGTGATGACTCAAATCACTAGTGCGATTACGTGTTTGTAACAGAGACTAAGCCTTTTTTGTGGGGTGGCGATGGTAGGTTTTGTCATTTTTTATTTTGTTAATAGTATTTGCATTTCAGACGTCTTCGAAATGATGGGACTTGCGTTTTGTTTCTCTTTACAAGTCACTACCTAGCAATGGGCCATAATATCCACCAAACTTATCGACTCACAAATTGATATTGTTTTTGCTTGAATGCTGGATAATCTGTCTTGTGGGCCGTTATATATCATTTTGCATGTGTCTATTTTATTATGTGATTTTGGCACAACCGAAAATTATAAGAATCTCTCGAAACATATGATGTTGGTGCTTCAAAATTACTATTACATGATCTCATGCTCAAACCATTGACCATACATAAACCCTAGACAAAACAGAATTTCTATGTAAGATTAACAATGTAGATCAAATTTTGTGCATGCTTTGTGAATGCAAGTTTCTGTAATTATAACTTTCAACGTTTCACATCAATTTAAGAGCGGATTTTCAACTATCTCTAGGTATTCTATATTTCAGAGTTTTTAACTGATAGATTCGTGGTAAAAAATACAAGGATGAAGGTCTACCAGTTAAACATCCTAGTGACGATAGATTTGTACGACTCTCGAGATATAGCTAGCTGGTCAGACAAGTTTTTGCTTGCATCGAAAGCAACATATAATAATTGTGACCAAATTAAGCATAAACCATCCATTCAAAATAATTGATCAATGCTGACAAATGATTTGTTCATTGCAGAATGCCATAGTTTTCCAGGTATACTCTATCCTCTCTCGAACCTGCGATCCTTCCGTTTCAGCCAAAGACCCTCCTTCATACAAAGGTGTTTATTTAGGGGGAGTTGGCACAGGTGCTATACAGAGCCTAATACTCAGCCCTGTAGAACTCGTAAAAATCCGGCTTCAACTCCAAACGATGCAAAATCGAAACCTCATCAGCTGCAATCCCCCAAAGGCCCTATAGATGTTGCCAAAGGCATTATGAGAGCAGAAGGCGTAAGGGGAATATATAGAGGACTTTCTATTACTGTCCTGAGGGATGCACCGTCGTTCGGTTTCTACTTCTGGACTTATGAGTACATGAGAGAGAAGCTTCACCCGGCTGCAGAGGACCGGCGAAGAGAGCTTGCAAACAATGCTGGTGGCAGGAGGGCTTGCGGGAGTAGCCAGCTGGATTTGTTGTTATCCCCTAGACGTTGTGAAAACGAGATTGCAGGCTCAGGTTCTGTCTCAGTACCCGCCCAGATATTCCGGCATTGTTGATTGCTTTCAGAAGAGTGTTAGAGAGGATGGCTATGGCGTGCTCTGGCGTGGACTAGGAACTGCGGTTTCTAGAGCCTTTCTGGTGAATGGGGCAGTTTTTGCTGCTTATGAGATTGCTCTGAGGTGCCTATACTAGGAAGAAGGTGGATTTGGAATTGGGATTGGGTGCAGATCTTGGTAGGAGAAAAGAGAATACTCTTTTTTTTTTTTTTAATTAAAAAGGGTCTCTCTCGTGTGGCTTAATAAGACGACTGGGCTTTTATTTATTTTCAAGTGACTTGACTCGAACACAGTTGTGAAAAACTATAACTGTCGGCCCGCCTCTGCACTTAACCAAAGGAGATTTAAATGGGCAGAAAAAACTCGAGGTTCAAGCCATTCACTAGTGTCCCCTGCCATTAGCATTTTCCCATCCCATGCTACTACCTGACAACACAAGTAGTTCTCTCTTCAAAATGAAAATCAAAACTGCGAAATAAAACTGATTTGGTTCGGTATAGTTTTGTTTGATAAGAGTTTTCAATCAAACCAAACCGAGCCAATTGAAGAACAATTTAGTTTGGTTTGAAGCTAAAAAGGGTGAAGGGTGTGTGTGGAAAGTAAAAAGGGATGTGTCCTCTATATACCCTTTCCACAGTAACACACTTTTTATAGCTACAACTCCGTTATTCCGATTTAGTCACTGGGCTGGCAGGAGTTGTGAAAACCAGATTGCAGGCTCACTCCGTTGCCGAAATACAATGACATTGTGGAATCCTTCCGGAAGTGTAAGAGAGGAAGGATACTGAGTGCTCTGGCTGTTGCAAATGCGACCAGATTTCTGGTGATTGCGGCCATTTTTTCTGCTTATGAGATTCTTCTGCGGTTCCTAATCCTATATAGCAATGCTGCAACCGATCTAGCGGTGAATGCCCTATCTTACCCTACTGGATGATTCCATTGACCTGCCTGCATCAATTCCGTTCAGAAAAATACATGTTTCTTGACTTGGTGCTGGTTAATCTTCGCAATAGAGCGAGGAAAAGAGATTCTCGAACGAGAAAAAAGATCAAAGGAAAAGAGATTCTCGGGCAAGAAATGATTAAATGACCTTATAGTAGCGGTAGAAGGCAACCTAGGGCGAAGTAAAATGCACCCTCCATTTATGTATAGCCTAGGAAAGGAGACCCACATGCTGAGAAACAGGAAAGACAACAGATTTAAATGGGTAGAATTCTTCAGGTTCAGCCATTCACTTGTGTCCCCTGCCATTAGCATTTCCCATGCTAGTAGCTGACAATACAGTAGTTTTACTTTGTTGCAATGCTAGACACAGCCTCAACAATCTGACCTAAAATCCAAAATCCGAAATCAGTTGGCAATGGGCAGAAAGACCTATTCTTTAACTAACTAGGGTCGAGCTCAATAGGGTTTTCTTTTCCCATTGATTCTGTCAAGCCCATGCCCTTGACCGTGGTTTCGCTGGATAATAGAAAAAGCCATCGAAAATTTCATTAATCTATTCATGCGCACGACTAAGTACATACTGATGAACTCGCATTCTCAACCATCCCTAGAATCCCCGAAAAATAAAATCACCATAACAATCAATCATGCATCAATCTCATTGTTCCACATTCTGTTATTCTCACTCAAGCCTCCTAAAGCTGCTGTGACATTCATTCTTGGCTCCTTACACGTAACAAGCAATACTTCCTTACTCGCACTATTCAATTTGACACATATGCATATATCGCTCGTTGAAATCACGAAAAGAAAAGTTTCTGCAAACATGTCGACCATGCCACCAAATACTCTCGATTCAATATCTTCTCCGACAATTCAATCTCTAATAAACGAATCAACACTCAATCGAAATTACAAAACAAAATACAACTCGTCTCGATGAACAAAATTATTCTCATTAATACCTCAAATTAAGTAGAGCATTATTCCTAAACATCTCGACAGAGTCGAACAAACGAAATTATTATTCTCAATCCTACCTGCATTTTCACAAAATTGGCCTCAATACAACATGAAAAAATGGACACAAGTGACTAGTCACAACAGAGAGCCACAGATATCCATGTATAATAACATTCCTCTATGCTTTAACACCAAACAAAGAAAGAGTTTAGAGCTACGTTACATGATTAAGTCGCCTGATCAAACACCTCCGTGGCCGCTGCCAAACTGTTCGATCCTGTCCTCACCGAAACCCAAACCCGCCATCAGATCCGACAACCCGGAACTCACCTCCACCAGCACATGCGGATCATTGTAGTTCCTAACCGCCTGAACAATGTCGATCACCCGCTTATACGGATCCGAGCAATTGAATACATCCGACCCGATAAACACTCCGTCGCAACCCAATTGCATCATCAACGCCACGTCGGCCGGCGTCACGATGCCACCGGAGGCGAACAGCACCACCGGCAGCCGACCCATTTGCTTGGATTGCGCAACCAGGTCGTACGGTGCTTGAATCGTCTTCGAAAACGCAAAGACTTCGTCGTCGTCCATGTTGTTGAGCAGCCTAATCTGACCCATCACCGATCTGACGTTTTTTACAGTCATGGCGACGTTGCCGGACCCGGTTAGATCGCCTTGGATTCGTATGATCGCCGCGCCTTCTCTCACTCTCCTCAACGCGTCGCCGAGCGTTTGAGCTCCGCAGATGAAAGGGGTCTGGAAATTGTGCTTGTTTATGAAATGTTCCTCGTCCGCCATCGCTAGATACTCGCTCTCGTCGATGTAGTCGACGCCGATTGATTCGAGGATCTGGGCCTCGACGAAATGCCCGATCCGTGATCGGGCCACGACGGGGATCGAAACGGCACGTTTGATGTCCTTGATGAGACAGGGGTCGGACATGCGCGAAATGCCTCGGTTGCGGGGCGGGTCGGAGACGATGACGGAGCAAGCGCCGGCGTCTTCGGCGAGCCTTGCTTGCTCGGGGGTGTTGACCTCAACAATGGCGCCGCCGCGGAGCATCTGGGCGAGGCCGACCTTGATCGAATATGGGTTCTTCTTGTTGTTGGCGTCGGTGATTGCGCTGCTGTTGTAGATTGTGACCGCGCCGTCCTCTGCCGCCATCGAGGTGTTTCTGAAAATGCCTGAACGAAACTAAATGCCGCGAGGAGATTGAAGACCTGGAGATTTGGTTGGTTTTGGGAGGCGGGGATTGTGCAAATTTAGAGAAATCTGGAGGGAAGATGATGGGGGGATTGTGGAAGGAGGTGGGGGTGGGGCCGATGAGTTCTTGAAGCTTCGGTGTGGGTGGTGGATTTTTCTGGGATGGTATGGGGGAAGTTTTGGTTGGTTGGTTGGTGATTGACCGCTGACTCGCGTGTTAGTTCGGTGGCTTGTGAAAATGTAGAAACTTCGGTTCCATATGCCAAGATTGAAGGTATCTTGCATGGTGTCTGTCTCCCCTTGTTCGGTTGTGTGTGATTCCGAATTAATTATAAGGTTTGTCTCCCAAATAATAAAATCCCTTTTGCCCTTTTCCGCTTTGCCTTGTGTTTGGGCTCAAATTAATGGATTTGGGCTCGGTAAGATTATAAGCTCAGTCCATAGACAGACTTGTTTGGATAAGAAGCTCAGTCCAAAGTAGTTAGTTGAGTTTGAATTAATGATGGACACTTGAAAATTAAGGACGGATTCGGTTAAATCCTGATTCAATCAAGAGTCTTCAAAGATCAGGATGGCATAGGAAGATTCGTAATATTCTAAGGGTCTGGTTAAAACAATGAGTGAATTGTATACCAAAAGATGACTAGATTCAGAGTCCTAAGCCTGGTAGGAGTGATCAACTCCAATCCAAATGAGAAGGTAATTCGTTATTGGATCAAGATATGCCAAGGAGATTTTGTCTGAGTAGGACTCTACCTCGGCACCAGGTGAAAATCACTCCTACAAATAGAAAATGTTTTCAACATTCAAAGGCCCTTCAACTCAAGACATAAATATGCCTGTGCAAATTCTCGCTCTATGCAAAACCCTTTCATATTTGAGTAAACACTGACCTCCCTAACTCCATCAAACACACCTTACAGTTTGTACTTTTAAGTATTTATGTCCATATAGTCTGGTACCGATCAGCGCACTTTTACTTGCACAAATATAATTGAAGCAGCTAAGCCTGATACCAACAATTCGTGAACTTTGAAGAAACTACAACCTTGTCTTTATGCTCTAGAACCCAGAGGCCAAGACAAGTTCCTTCCTCGCCCGCAGTCGTGAGCTACAGAAGTCAGCAGTGTGTTCGACCTCACCACCACATTCATGCACTCACCAACTGAGCTCGGTCGTCTAGTTGGCACAATCACATTCAATCAAAGGACGTAGTTAGCTCATTAGCTACTTGGCATGCACGCCACGTAGGCTAAGAAGTTTTTAGGGTCAACACCTTGTTAGATATTTTCACACAAATTGCAATTATAGTCAGTTAATTAGAAAACTTGTCTGCGCGCTACTGCAGGTTCTGATTCCGTAATGCATTTTCAATTACATTAATCAAGAAAATGCACATCTTAGTTCAACCAATTGCAAAAATACACAGGCGAACATAGATAATTCAACATAAATTAAAACCAAATATCAAGGTTAACCAATATGGCTGAATAAGTATTTTAGCTTGCATTTAGATTGAATTTACTTTTACATAGCTAACATCACAAAAATTAGATAATGCACCAAAATACACCAAAAGAAAAAAAAAAAAAAAGAATGCACCAAAACTTGAGGCCCAATTCTTTGTTTACAAAAGAGAAAATCCAAAAAAAAAAGGTGCATCTTAAAATCCAAGCATACATTAAAAATTCAATAATAAGGTTATAAAATGATTGTAAACGAATATACCTCAAAAAGCCAAAGGCCCAAGTGCTCTCTCCAACGATCTAAATTTATGAAATACACAAATATAGCAAATCCATTAGCAACTTGACATGCTTAGTACAATAAAAATTCACAATGATTGAATGAACAAACTATGTGACCTAATTAAATATTCACACACATTGTACTTATACACACACACACTTATTACACACACTGCACACATACAAAGTTGTTGGAACCAAATTCGCGCACCATCATGAATGGTGGTTATGCACAAACTTGAGAGACCCGCAAAACGATAAACAATTGTAAGCAAGCCTTAGATCCACAGGGGGGTGCAGCTAAAGGCTCTTCGACGATCAAATTAGTGAATGATTTTAGACTCAAGCAATGGGCAAGAGAATTCAAGCATTTAGATTGTGTTACCAGAGATAACCCCTAGATGGGTGTATTTATACTGTGGGAGAGAGACATTTTCAGGATAAAATCCTCGTTCTAAGCCAAGAGAATCCTAGAGGATATCTAAAACTAGATATTACACCTTCTTAGAAGTTGTGACTGCTTGTGGTGTACACGAGTTCCTAAATTGTAGGAACTCTAAGACTTAAAAGGTCTGATTATGTCCATATCTGGATCAAATCAAGTGTCTTGTAGAACAAGTATGGTCATCCAGTAGCGTTGCTATCACTCTGCCTGTTGCCTCAGAATAGGGTGATGGTGTCACCGCCACACTGTCTAATACAGCTCTGCACAGAGCTGGTGAGTCCATGATCTGACTTCTAAGGTAACTGTATTGTGGTTAGCCTTCCTCCAGCTCTGGAAAATCATGATTCCATAATTGCCCATAACTATCCATCTGAGAGCCAATCTATTCTCCTTGAGGATGGGTTATTACCCAAAGACCATGCCTTTAGGAGTAAGATGAAGTACGTACATTTTTTATGCATATGTGATCCGATGTGCAATCTTGAATATTGTGCCAGAAAGCTTGCAATGATAAGACTCTACATTCGTGGTGTGTACACGAAGAACGAGAAATTTTTCTCCATATCTTCATTAGTTCCAACCGTAAGATTTAAGGATCTCAAAATGAGTCAGTCTGGATTTGACGGCTAGATTGATTTTTCGAAATGACGCATATAAATCCTCGAATCTTTTCCTTTTACTTTAACAAAAACTTTCAAACTATTTGCTGTTAAAAAAGGGCTCCAACTTTCTTTTCGTACTGATTTCAAACATTCTTCCCATTTTCATGACACTTTTTGCATGGCGTCTTCAAGTAATAACCCTAAACTGACCAAGATGTCACTAAACCAATGATCATTGTCAAAGGGGAACAGTCTGATTTTCTTTTCACCCTCATACAGAAAATAGAACTTGATGATATAACCAGTTGGTTCAGTAATATTGTTCCAAGGGGAAGATTCAGAGAGAGAAAAGATAGGAAGAAATCAATGTTCTAAAAGTCGCTAGGCGGTAATTGAGCGGCAAAAAAAGGCCTAGACAGGGTCTAGGCGTTTTATTCTACTTTAATTAAATTGACTATAATATATATAAGCATTGTATGATACGTTATTTTTTAATAGAAGAATATAAATGTAATGTGAGAGTTTTATGTAAATATAGTAAAACCTCTATGAAGTTACATAGTTAGGACGAAACCAGTTTTATAACTTTAGGTAGGTTATTATTGAATAAATGTATAGTTAAAATATATTATTTATTAACTTATTTATCCTTAACGAGTGTTGCGTTTCCTAAATAGGATTCCTTAGGCACCATGTATTTTATTTCTTACTTATTTTTGTACTGATTTATAATTATAACTATGTAGATGCATGTTTCCTTAAGATAAAATCAAGAAAACTTCATAAATTATAATAATATGGAGTTTATTTTACTACATAATTGGTGGGACCTGAATTTTTTTATAATTATAATAAAGTTATTCTATTATAGAGTATTACTTTAGGAAGGCTTTATTGATATTTGTGGGATATACAATATGGTGGGGTCTTAAAAAGAAACAAAATAAAATACTACCAAAACCAAAAAAATGTCAGAAGATGATGGGTTAAACGGAAAGGGATCCTCTCCGGATCCCTTCCTCCTGATCCACCAAATCAGAGAATCTGTACCGTTAAAATTTGATCCAACGGCTAAAGTTATTATAACTTTTAAAGTGGACCCCTATATTGTAGCCGTTGGATCAAATTTCAACGGCACAGATTCTATGATTTGGTGGATCAGAAGGAAGGGATTCAGAAATGATCCCTTTCCGGATAAGATAAAAGAAAAAAGGAATAATAAAAATGAAATATCATGAAAAGAGAAGATGGTGGTGTCATTTTAATGAGAAAAAAATGGGATAATTATGTTGTCAAAACCACTTGCAACTTTAAAAAACGACGCCATCTTGTCTGGGTAAAGATTAAACAGTATCTTCTTCTTTGTGATTTGCACAGCCGATTCTGCAACAAATTTTTTTCTCATGTTTTAGCATAGTTCTTCATATAAGCCCATCTAGCCCATCCTCACATGGTCCCACTTAGGTCTGGTTTGATACTGATGTGATTTTGAAAAAAGTTGGGAGCTATTTTTATGTTTGGTAAACATTCAGCTTTAGCTTTTTTTTTCACAGTTTTGGGTTAAAAAAGCCAAAAACAAGAAGCTGCAAAACCCAGCTTTGAAAAACCGGCTTTTTTCACATTTGTTTTACATAAAAGTTACCGAACACTCTGCTGCTTTATTTCACAACTGCTTATGCTCACAGCATAGCAGAAACAATTTTTTTTCAAAGCACAGTAATACCAAACCAGCTCTTAGTCTTGCCCAGACGGTCGCCTTTTATACTTTTTCGATTTTGTGATCGATTAGGGGTTAATCGCGGCAGTAATCAACCGCCTAGAGCTTAAACGCTGCTAAAGCCGATTTTTAGAATATTGGAAGAGAGGAAAATGATAAGAGTAGAAGACGCAAAGAGAAAAGAGAAAGTCGTGAATATAGATAGAATGGAGAAACAAGAGGAGAGAAAAGATGAGAGAAGGCTTCTCATAATGAAGATGGTTGTTAGGATGTTCAATAACAAAGAGACACATGCAAAAACTAATAAAATAATGTATTCAATTTGATATTTTAAGTGAGAAAATCGCAAACCAAATTAGCCAAAACCAAAACAATTTTTTTCAACTCGATTCGACCCGCTTGACAATTTTAAATGCCAATATTTATAGTAGAACTTCTTAAGTATTTTTAGTTAAAATAATATCTGAAATTGCCATAACTTCTCATTTTGATTCTTGATATTTAAAATTGGTAGAAGAAATCCCTCAAATTATCCACTATCAATCATTTTACTTATTTTGTGAAAAATCTCCGTTAAATTAAAAAATCCACCTGTACTCTTGATTTTTTGGGCCGGACTTGAACCAATTTATATAAAACAAGAGCTTTGAAGAGTCCAAACCCAAAAGCCGAAAGTAAAAGTTCGAGAAGGGAATAATCGCGCCGAACAGCCCAAGCGGGTCCCAAAATCCAACGCCATACAAGCATTTACCGCCGGTTTGATATCCGTACTATTCAAATTCGGCCGTCGGATGACCCACTAGCCAAAACCCCGGCAATTCCTCGCCACGTGGCACCGCGAGTCACAGAATTTGAATGAGGATCGTCAAGCGCGCAACAAAACAAGTCGGCCCCACCACGTGATAACAGGCCCGAGGCATTCGAATGCAGAATGCCGGGTCCCACCCGAGCCAAAATCCCGTGTCACGTGTAAATCTTCAGCCGCACGTGCCGCACTGTTTTTTTTCAAAAATTCGAGGCATTTCTCCTCCTCCTCCTATATCTTGGGGTTTACTGGAGGTCCGCTAAAGTTCAGCTTATTTAGCACACCAGATTTTTTACTTTAAAAAAATAAAAATTAAAAAAAATTGGAAAACTATTCGGCGAGAAGCTTCGAGCTGTGAAAAAGGAGCCTCCCTTGCAGTAATAAATGATCGAGATTTTTTTGTGTGCTTGAAGAGAGAGAGAGAGAGAGAGAGAGAGAGAGAGGTTGAGGTTCCGATCTGGGTTTTTGATTGGAGGGTCCGATTGAGATTTGGATCGGGTCGGAGTGAGAGAGAGATGAACGGAGTTGGGAGGCAAGGGCAAAGATCTGGTGCGGCGGGGGTGCACCACCAGCGGCAATACTCTGATAACTTCTTGGAGACTTCGTCCAATGGGAGGTGGCTTCAGTCTGCTGGTCTTCAACACCTTCAGTCTTCTTCCAACTCATCTGGTCCTCCTCCTCAGGTATTTTTTTGCTTTCCCAATCAAACCTATCCGAATTTAATCAAAACATGTACCAAATCTGAAATTTGGGTACATGTAATCAGCATTTATTGTTTTTTCCCTTGAATTTTTTTTTTTTTTTTGAACTTTTTTGGGTACATTCTGATCGGACCCAGATGGGATTTTGACTAAAATGTTGAAGCCTTGATCTTTGTAGATCTGATGGTATAATTTTGTATCTAAGCTATTTGATTGTTTTGCTCTTTGGTTGAATTGAAAGCAGGACTATGGTTTCTATGGTGGAGGTGGAGGAGGACCGCCTTCTAGAGTGTACCGGAATGCGCAGAGAGGGTACAATGAGTTTTATGCGGAGGCTCCGTCGACACCTCCCTTCAATTCCCGGAGGAAGAGCGACGAGGAGTCGCCCAATGAATTCAGTCCTGGACTCTTGGATCTGCATTCCTTTGATACTGAGCTCATTCCTGATGTGGGTTACTTTCCATTTCTGAATTTCAATAAAGATTTTTTCCGTTCGGGTTTTATGATCCGTATTTGGTAATGTGTCTGTGCCCATGCATTATATTGCTATTGCATCTTGATGTTGTAATTATTTTCATGAAAACTTCCCATTATAAACTTTGTGATGAATTGTTTCATTTACTTCTCCTATTGCTTCGGAAATCTTAAACTTGGATTCACAGTAATGTGACTGCGAGTTAATGGAAGAAATTTTTTTTTCTTTGTATGTACATTCCTTTTTTCTTTTGATGAATTAGAATTTGTCTACATTTCCAACAACTAATGTTTACATGAGGTTCAGTTTCATTTTTGTTTTGTTGATAATAGATGTTTTGTTTTTCTTCGTTTTTCTTTCATTTTTTTTGTATTTAATAAAAAATGACTTTTGATGTATGGTCCTTCTAAGTTCTTATGTATCTCATGTACAGCTGCCAGTCTCTGGGTTGTACGATGGTGCTTCTCTATATTATCCTTCACGGGGAAGAAGCTTTGATGATTCTGAACCCTACATTTCAAATAACAAACAAATAGAAAGGGCTCGGGTACCAGAAAACAACCTCCAGAAAAGTTTTGCTGCAGACAAAGAGAAAGCTAGTTCTGTAGCAAAGATCAAAGTTGTGGTATGTCCAGTCATATCATCATAATTAGTGCTTGTGATTTATACTTTTTACCTGAAATATTGCAAGTGTAGTGCTATCCACACACCCATTTTTACTTCTCACACACCCCTCTCAACTTCCGGCCATGTGTGGGAGGTAAAAATGGGTGCGTGAATAGCACTATCCATATTGCAATACCCATAAAACCACCAGGCATTTGCCGATTCACAAGTTGTAATTCCCGTACATATGAAGTGCCCTCATTGGTTAAGAAGAAATTATTTGAACTTCATGCAGCACCAGGCCTGTTATATTTGTCTTTTATTTTATTTCTAAAATTTGTTTTGTGATGGCATGAATGCAGGTACGCAAGAGACCACTTAATAAAAAGGAGTTAGCTAAGAATGAGGAAGATATCATAGATACACTCTCAAACTCTGTCACAGTTCATGAGACAAAGCTCAAGGTAAATGCCACTTAAGCTTGCTGGAATGAAGGTGTCTCTTTTTGTGCCCAAGAGAATGATGAAGTAATTGTATACGCATAATGATGAAAATTCTGCATTGCTTAAAGTTAGAATGAACGAGCTTGAATAAACTCCAAATGCGTCAAGCTTAGAAGAGAGTTAGAAAAATATTGCTAAGTACACAAACTTGTTGCTACTTGTGGTTGTAGTGTGGAAATATTTAAGATTTGTGTTTTATTTGTATGTCTTGTTATGCATTTCACTATAATCTTTTAGGATGTTTCTTACATTCCCTTTCTCCATTGTGAACCTGATACTTAGCTCATCATTCTACCTGTACCCATGCCTTTATATCTCTGACTTAGCTTTTGATGTTCTGCAGGTTGACCTAACAGAATACATGGAAAAGCATGAATTCGTGTTTGATGCAGTGTTGAATGAGGAAGTGTCCAATGATGAAGTATGTATAGTGCTATTAAATGGATCTCATAAAACAAAAATTACAAAAACGTAAAAATCTAGAATGATTGGATTCTAATCAATAAGATTATAAACTAAACATGGCTCTCAATATGTTTTAGGCTTATCATACGGTTTTTATCCTGTACTTTTAGGTTTATCATGAGACTGTGGAGCCCATAGTTCCAATAATTTTCCAACGCACAAAGGCGACCTGTTTTGCATATGGACAAACTGGTTAGTAGCCCTCCCAAATCATGGTTTTATTTTGATAAACAATGAATCATTCGTGAGGACACCTGCTGATAGATCCTACTTTGAGCATATTATCCTATGTTAACTGTGGAATGGTGTAAATTTCTAACACCACTGTGTATTCTTTTCCTTTCATCATTAGTCATTACAGACCCAAACAAACTCACATGCTTAAAAACTATGCAATTCTCTCTCTCCCTCTCTCTCTCTCTCTCTCTCTCTCTCTCTCTCTCTCTCTCTCTCTCTCTCTAAGTAAAGACTGTAAAGTGCGCACACACACACACCTCAAACTGTCAAGAGTGAATTGACCGAATATCTGTAGCATTAGAGAAAGGGTCAATTAATTCCATTTTATAACTTTTCACTCTTGTTTTGATATATGTTATTAGTATGGTAAACATGTGCTTACCTTTTGGTTGCCCAATCAGGGAGTGGAAAAACTTATACGATGAAACCATTGCCTCTTAAGGCATCCCGAGACATCTTGAGGTTGATGCACCATACTTATCGGAGCCAGGGATTTCAGCTGTTTGTGAGCTTCTTCGAAATATATGGGGGGAAACTTTTTGATCTCCTCAGTGATCGAAAGTAAGCCATTCTAGCCTTCTTCTTTAGTTAGTATTTAGAGGTTTATGACATCTTGAAACTTGAAACTTACAATTTGAATTCTACAGAAAGCTTTGCATGAGAGAAGATGGTAAACAACAGGTTTGTATCGTGGGTTTGCAAGAATATAGAGTGTCAGATGTGGAGACCATTAAGGAGCTCATTGAGAGAGGAAGTGCCACAAGAAGTACTGGTACAACTGGTGCAAATGAAGAATCATCTCGTTCACATGCAATACTTCAGCTTGCTATAAAGAGGTCAGTTGATGGCAATGAAAAGAAACCTCCTCGTCTTGTTGGAAAGCTGTCCTTTATAGATCTTGCTGGAAGTGAACGGGGTGCAGATACTACAGATAATGATAAACAGACAAGGTATACTCCATTCCATCTTCAATCTATTTTATCCCAAACGAAAACCAAAATATTGCTTTTATGCATGTCACATGGTAGCATACAGCACTAGAAGTCACCGTTTAATATATTAGACAAGTATCTGAAATCACCTATTTTTCTATGATTATGGGGTAGTAGAGATTTTTAGTTTGTCACGATTCACATCAGTGGATGAAAACATTGAAAAGGACCATAGCTCAAGTCACATCTAAGATTTTCAATTTTATTTTTATTATTATTTAGTATCATTATCAATAAGTCACACATAAGATGTAGATGTTCTTTTCTCGATAATTGTGGACTTCTAGCTAAAGTTGCTGTTTTGAAAAAATCAATGCAGAATGGAAGGGGCTGAGATTAATAAGAGCTTACTGGCATTAAAGGAATGCATTAGAGCTCTTGACAATGACCAGGGTCATATTCCTTTCCGAGGAAGTAAACTAACGGAAGTTCTTAGGGATTCATTTGTTGGTGACTCCCGTACTGTGATGATATCGTGCATATCACCAAGCTCAGGATCCTGTGAACATACTCTCAATACTTTAAGATACGCTGACAGGTGAGATGCATTCTTGTACCAGTAAACTTTCTGGTATATATGTTGCTTGTTTGTTCACCTGCTAATGTTTCTTGCTATTAAAATCACATTCTAGGGTCAAAAGCCTTTCGAAAGGGAACAACCCTAAGAAGGATATGTTACCTTCAACACTAAACCTCAAGGAATCAACAAATATACCTCTATCTTCAGCTTTGCCCACTGCTTCTGCCTACGAAGTTGACACAAATGATACATGGACTGAACAAATTGAAAAGGAGGAATTTGATGCATCAGAAGAGTCTTATTATGAGGCCAAAACATCATGGAAGAGAAATGGGAAGCTAGAGCAGTACAATGTATCAGCTACAGAGGACAAAGTACGTAAGCCCAATGGTCAGACAAAATCAGAACTGCCAAAGTTTCATTCAAGGAACTCAAACTCAGATGACGATTTGAATGCCCTGTTACAGGTAACAACAAGAGACTTGAGTACAAAGACTTAGTAGAAATATTTTAGAAATTGTGTGGTGGATAAATTTGTGAGATGAGCAATAATTTGATGGTGTGGTGTAACAGGCACCAGAAATATTTGTGAGACAACCTATAATTTCTACAGATAGGATTAACCACTACATAACCTAGAGTTAATGTGCAAGCCTATGTTGCATTTTCCAGGAGGAGGAAGATCTTGTAAGTGCTCACCGGAAACAAGTTGAGGACACTATGAATATTGTGAAAGAGGTATGTGGTTGCGATTGAATAAAATTCGCTGGGTCATGTTTTAGCATGCAAGAGCCTACAACTTGGATGAGGTTTCTAGAGTTTTTAAATGCCATCTTATGTCGTGTTTTTGTGTTTACGCTTCCACAGAACCTGATGCACAACATTTTGTTAGTTTTTCCAACCATGTGGATATGCTTTGGAAGACCTTATTTTGTCTGCACGTATGATGTTTTGACTTGTGTAATGCATTTGCAGGAGATGAATCTCTTGGTAGAAGCAGATCAACCTGGGAATCAGCTGGACGATTATGTTTCTAGACTGAATGCCATTCTATCTCAGAAGGCTGCAGGCATCCTGCAATTACAAAATCGTTTAGCTCATTTCCAGAAGCGTTTAAAGGAACACAATGTCTTAGTATCCTCTTCGGGTTACTGATTTCGTGCGGAACTGCAGACTATAGTTAGAACACGTGCTGCTGCTCAACAAAGTATGATTGCAAAAGGGTGTTCGAAATAGCATTATGGATTGGTTAATTCTTCATGTAATCTTTGATAAACTCTACCAGCCCTCAGGGGACTTGGAGTTTTCCTTGGATTTACCGTCCAATTTTCCTTTAAATATATACCATTTTTACAGCAATTCGATATCTTTTTATTTACCAGCCATTGCATGGATTCCCATTTACATGCCACATGAGCATGCTTCTGTAAAGTTCTGGATTGTGCTGTAATTTCATTACATTTTTTAGTTGTTGGAGACTGTTTAGTCGTTGTACCTGTCTTCTTCGGCAGATTTTTATGCATAAAAGATTTCTGCACATTTTTTGTTTTTATGTAATTCCATAGGAAGATGGATATCCATTAAAGAGGAACTGCATTGGTGCACGATGCATACAATATCACATTCACGATGCGTTGGTAATTGATGAGTTAACGGGACATATTTAAAATGATATGATTGATATCCTCAAGTGTATGTTTTTTTCGCAGATTATATAGTCCTGATAGATGAAATGCATGAGAGTAAATGTGAAGCTTAATCTTTGGTCGGAAGTGTTGGAAACTGAATGTCTTTGCTTAGGTTGGTCAAAGACAGTGTATATGAAGTACAAGTGCATTGGGAATAGGAGTCCCAATGAGATAAGATTGAGGATTGGAGAGTAGGAAGTATTACAATTTGGATGGCAAGTATCAGTGATAAGATTAACTCATGCTTAACTGATCCTAACATTTTAGCAAGTTAATCCGGGAGTAGGTGCCCCTTAAGAATTCAAATGAGGTGGTGCATGGTCCCCTTTGCAAGTTGGTATCATGTTGTGGTGATATGAAGATAAGATGGCATTTGGAAATATCAAGACTCAAGTCACTTTCTCACAGTTGCAATGCTTTAAAACCAAAACCTTCTATTGGATCTTTATTGCAAAAGAAGGGAGAATTGTAGGGAGATCTCACCCATAAAATACAAGTTGGATAGATGAAGTGAAAGAGTGCATTGGGAGTGTTATGCGATCGACAAATGGCACTAAAGCTAAAGGGAAAATTTTGTAGGATGACAATAAGGCTAGCAATGCTGTAGCCACATAATGTTGGCCAGTCAAGCATCAACGCGTGCAAAAATGTATATAGCAGAGATGTGAATGCTTTGTTAAATGTGTGGGCACATGAGAAGGGACATGATTAAGAACATGATATCTAGGTAAGGTAGGAGTGACCGCAATTAAATATAAGATAAGAGAAAATTGATTTAGATGGTTTGGACATGTGAAACGAAGACTTATAGATGCTCCGGTTAGAAAGTGTGATTATGAGACAGAGGCTCAGAGCAAAATGGGTAGAAGAAGACCTAGGAGGATTTGGAAAGAGACTTTAAGAAAAGACATGAGTACTTGGAGCTAACGGAATACTTGAAGCAAAACCGAGCACAGTGATGTTTTAGGATTTATATAGCCAACCCCACTTAGTGGGATAAGGCTTTTTGTTGTTATTGTTCTTGTTGACTTTGATTCTAATGAGGTCATGGGGCTTTGCATTTTCCATAAAAAGCGATATTGAGGGTGAAAGAAATTCGAACTTGAGACCTTGGGTGTAAGGGAGAATGCTCATGGCACTTCGATTTATTGTTTAACTACCTATGGATAAAAGGTGTTATGCCATTTTTCTAACAAACATTTAGCAAACTTTGAAGTCATGAGGGTATTCTTGTCATTTTGCCTTCTTTTTACCCGCCACTTTATTCTATTTTAAAACCCTGCAAGGTTGTGAAGGCTGCAAGCAACTAACAACCCCTTATTAACAATTTATATTCTGCTCAAATGTGTTTGCTTATTAATTTTTTCTTATTGTTCAAGAAACTGAATTTATGATTTATATGTTATTGATGGATAACTAATCTGTTCAAAAGTGTTTTCATAATCAGTTCAACTATAAATTAATGTACAGTTAAACATGAATTGACAAGATTGTATATACTTCATCTGCTTAAAAGTGTTGAAGTTCAACTATATACTTTGAGCTTGTATTTTATGTTTTAACTGTGAAAAACTAATATAATTGGATTATGTCCAAAGATGATTATGGAATTATATGCTTTTGCTGCAATCAGAAAACATCTAGTTAAAGTGTATGTCTCTGCCAAATTTTAGAAGAATAAAATTGACCATATGATTTTTTGTTTAGCTTTTCAGTCACGCACTTATTTGCAACATTTGGCATAGAGATGAAGTCAGAAAAATTAGTAGTTGATGTTGAATCCTCAAGTTTTGTAATTATAAATCCTTTTACTAATGCTTGATCAGTGGGAGTGTTTAAGAGGTATGTGCGTTTATGAGTTTTTTACTATTTTTAATCAGTGGGAGTAATAGTTTGTCTATTGGGGCGCAATAATGTCACACACCAATCCAATCAAGTCTCAAGGCCTAATTGTCATGCAAAGCCTACATTTAAGCCGAAGAACATGCCAAGGCATGGGATCGATGAAGAATATATTTACAAGCATGCAATGCCGTGGTGATTGCCGGATGTTCATGCCATGCTCATGCCTATTCATCATGCCATGCTTCCTTAGCGACAAATCATGTTAAGCCTAAGTCACATAATGGGGGCTTGCCAAGTGGAATGTGGTGTGGATGGTTATGGAAGGTTATTGGGCCTATGTGAAATTCCTTCACCTCATGAGATCAAGATGCAACTACAACTTCAGTGGTACTTGTAAGCCTGACCCATCTTTGGATGTTGAATTCCTTCACCTCATGAGATCAAGATGCAACTATAGTCACTCAACATCTGCTTCAGCATAAAACCCTCATTTTTATGGCATTGTGTCATCACGAAGAGCACCATTTCAATTCCACAAAGATCTACAGCGATCCTCATTCGAGGAAGCATGATTAGTAATGGACAATGAGGGACCTAGATCAGCTTTACGCACCCTGTACTATCGGAATCTTATGCAAGGCAAAGAAATCCTCTATGCTGATCAGCAACTGACGGTTAAGGAAAAAACATGGAATTGGGTTAGAGTATATGCTTTTGATGCCTACTTGTTTTATTGTGACTTTGCCATGGCAATGATGAAGTTCTTAGAACTCCAAGTGTTGATAAAACCAATGGGTCAAATCCGGCTCAATTGTTCAAAAGTGGTATGATATGAGTTATGAAGCATGGATAGATTTGAGTTGTTAGAGAAGAAAAGTTGGAAATCTAATCATGTTTATATATAGTAGAAGAAGTGTGAGAGTCGTATTCATGGTTTTAACTAAAAGGAAGCTCTTTGTATTCATCAACATGTGTCTTAGTTTACTGAGTTGTTGCAAAAGTTGTGAAGCGCGTTACCAGTTTTAGCACCTGTGGAAATCAACCCGGGAAAGCCGCGTCTTGGGAAAAAACAATATGCAGGTCCCAACAGTGCATCTAGTTTACACCAAAACGGGAATAATATGATAGCTAGAGAGAAATGGAGGGAAGATCATGCCACAAAGGGATATTCCTTTGAAATCTTGGAAATAACCCTTCACCTGCGTTAGGAGGGGGAGAAGCCATTACAGGGGGATTTCAGAGTAACACGGAGAGAATGAGGGGGAAAAGCCATTACAGTGGGATTTCAGAGTAACACAGAGAAAGAAATGGAGAAAACGCAGTAAGATAGAACCACCCAAGAAGAAGCCCAGATAGTTCCATTTAGTCTAGGTGCATACTTTAATCCTTAAGCATTACCATTCATGCAGCCATAACAATTTCCATAGCCTTCTATCAAACATCTCAACCATTTGAAGCATTGCTATCTGAAGGAAAATTTGTGAAAAACATGTTCATTTAAGCAACATCAATAGCATGCAATTAACAATTAAAGGCGGAATCATGCTTGTATGCACTTAAAACAAAACATTTACCCATGAAATTCAAAGCCTAGTAGATAGGTGAACCAAGACTCAACTCAAAACAAAGTGAGTTGAGAAATCAATACCTTTGTAGATTCCTCTTTGCATAAGCAAAGGCTAATCACCCAAAGAGAGGGCCTTCATTCCTTGCATCTTGGATCCATGGATTTGGATGGATGAAAAGGTTTCTCCAAGTTCCCAAAATTGAGAACCTCTAAGTCTCCACACCAAGGTATATTGTAGAAGAAATGAGTGACCTAGAGGAAGTAAGATTGCTAGCTATTCCCCTCTAGATTGGCCGAAATTTTAGAGAGAAAGGAGAGCTTGTGTTCTCATCCTTTCCCCCAAAAATAACCCTTTAGTAAATTTTAGGCTATAAAGTCCTTTATATAGTCCCTTCAAAATAAGTGACCTAATGGACCAAAAGCCCTATTCTTTTACACATGGCTAGCCTATAGGTTTATTGGGCTTTCAAGGCCTTTATTTTATTCAAGTTGTCATACAACTTGAGTTAATGGGCTTGACATTCAAATCCCATTGGGCCTTACGGCCCAAAACTAACCCGAGGTTTTTAACGAACTTATTCGTTTGATTAATTAACATATTAATTAATCCTTGCCATAAATAATTAAACCATTTAATTATTCTTACTCATCTCCGTTGAATCTTCAAACTCTACCTTACACGGTGTACGATCCATTAGGTTCCTTTTAGCGAGGCAGTGGGCGATTCAAACTCTTTCAAATCGATTGTGAATTGAAACTTACTTTCAATTCTCCCGTTAGTGATAATACACTTTTAGGGCTTCCACAAACCATGAGTGACACCTAGCAGCATATCATGGTTACCCAAGCTAATCAGAAGAGGTGGAGAACCTATTCAGTTTAGGATTACAAATGCAATACGGTCTTTCTCTAATACAATATTCTTGACCACATTGTTTGGTTTGATAGTTTATTCATGTCTACTATCCAATGTGAATCTTGTACTTATATGATTACCTTGAATGTGATCTGGAACGCATTCCAACATCTCATTCATACTCTGGCCAGAGATTCTAAATCATATCATAGAGTATTCTCCCTCAAACAGTTTGAAGGTTAGAGATCCCTTGTTGCGCATTCACTTGCCTCCATGGCTAAGTGGCTTAACCCCAACGATGCCGTGGACACCCTGATAGAGTGACGTTGACATAATCAAAGATTAAGGACCTAACCATAAGACAACTGTGATGCCTCAGGTCAAAAGACTAATTTGCATTATCCCAACCATGAGTTCTCATGTGACATGAATATGAGAACTCTTCGTTGATCGTGTTCAGTGAACTCATTCTCTATTGAGCACCTACGTACTTGTCTTGATGTCACACACACCAATGACTCGAGACTAGTCACTCTCC